CTCCAACCAGCCATTGCCGACAGCCAATCGCCCCACGTCAACACCTTCTGCCGCCCCGACGAAACCTCCAGAAGGCCAGCTGCCCCTCCACGTCGCTTGCTCTATGGTGAGTCACCACCATAGCTATGGTGACTCACCGAGGCTCAACCCTTGTGACCGGTCCAAGGCCATTACCGGTAATGGCTATAAAAGCCATAGACTAACCTGCAAAGAGGACGGGGAGCAAGAATAGAGCAAAAACAGAGGACCACGAGAGTAACCAAGAGAATGAACAACCACCACGAAGCAAGAGACAACTCACAAAAAACGAAAAAGAAGAGGAAAAGGAGCTACTTACCTTCGGAGAACCCAAACGCCGCCGGAAAACCTTATATAAACCGAGATAAAACCTTCGGTTCTAACTTAGATCTACTGATTTTTAGGGTGTTGGCGGCGGTCGGTCGGTGATCGATTTCCCTCCGACGAGGGAAAACCAGAGGAAACGAGAGCTTCTCTCTCTAATGAGAGATAAGCAAAAAAATAAAATGAGAGATTTGGCCACTTCTAGAGCCAGTTATAGGGTTTATATACCCTCATCAAAATGACGTCGTTTTAATGAAGGGTATATGCGTAATTTAAGGGATGGTCCAATTACGTCTGCAGTGTTTAAAGTTTGTAATCTTTATGATTTAGTCACTGCAATTAATTTCAATATGTTTTAATTTGATTTCTTAACTTTAGTCCCTTGCCATGTTTATATAATATTTAGGTAAAATAACCAATTTAGTCCCTTATAATTTAATTAAGTCTTATTTTAATCACCGTTTAAATAATTAAGGGTTAATTACATATTATTAATTATATTTTTATAATAAATTGAATTAAGCCATTAATTTATATATTTTAATCCCTAATAGTTTGATATTTTTTTATTTAATATACTTTGCAATTTAATTTTATAATTTTAATTTCTTTTATCATAATTTATTTGTAATTTTATTATTACTTTTAATATATTTTAATTATTAATTTAATTATTATTTTTTATATTATCTTAGTCATATATATATATATATACTTGTTTAAATAATAATATTTATTTATTTTTAATATCAAAGAAAATGGCAGTCTTAAAGCAACTAGATGTCCTATTCTGGTATTTTAAATAAATAAATATCTTACTTATAAAAACCAGAAAATACATATTGTTTTATTTAAATTATTTTCTTAGAAAATAATCATATTTTAATATTTATATATTTTTTAATATTAAAAAATGTGCTGTCTTAAAACACCTAGAAGTTTTTTTCTGATATTCTTAAATAAATAAATATCCTATTTTTATAAATTATATATACTAATTTATTTTAATTATTTTTATAGAAATGTTTTATTAATATTTATTTATTTTTTAATATTAAGAAATGGACTGTCTTAAAGCATCTAGAAGTCTATGGAGCAAACACCGAGTTGCCAAGTGTCCAAGCAATGTCATGGTTTGAACGCAATCTATTCATAAAGCAAGGCTTTCGAGTTTCCTCTAAAACCAATTGCCTTAGCGGAATAGCTCAATTTTTATGGATTTAATTTCTTAAGATTATCAAGAAGAACCTGTTATAGCCTAAGTGTTGTTAAAAGTCAAGGAATCTCATCTTTAGAGTTCCATTTCCAAGCAACTAGCCTAAACTAGATTTGCTTACTCGACTATTCCATCTGTGAAGATTATTATCATCACTGAACGTCTTAAACGAAAAGTATAGTAATTGTCATATGCAAATGATGCCCCATGTTGTTCGCACCTTATGAAAGGAAAAAGGTTACATTGGTTAATTGCAAGAGAAGGGTACAATGTTTGAGTGTATATTCTGGGTAAGGTCAAACTCCTTGTTTTAAATGAAGTTATTTCATCAAAGATCTGTAACTTTAAACCATTTAAAGAGTTTCTTAATTCAGATGACATTCAAATAATTGCAAGTTTGCAAATTTGATTCATTGCTCGTCATCTTTAAAGTAACATAAATTTATTTAAAAGTCCTTACAAAAACTTGAGAAAAGATAAAAAAAAACAAACTCAAACAGAATGCCTCAAATGATGAAATGATCTTCCTCGCTTGGCTGCCCCTAAGTTATTAAAGTCAATCCAGTTATGGTTACGCATCTTCTGCACGACTCTCTTGAATGCATAACGATTCTCAATTGTGTGCCTTGGGACACCGTCGTGATATTCACAATGAGCATTCTCGTTATACCACTTGGGGTATGGGGGCTTCATGGATTCCACCGGATATAGTGACACTACGTAGGTGTCAAGAAGTTGCTGGTAAAGTTCTTTGTATGTCATGAGAATAGGGTCGAAATGTTCCCTTTCTCTCCTTGGTTCTCTGGAATCTATTTTCTTCTTTTTTAGGCGGGTGTTATGCGGATGGAGTGTGTCCAACTCTTGTTAGTTAATGTGAATAAAAATAAAAAATGTGAAATATGCAAGAATGCACGATGCATGAAATGTTCGAGACATTGATCCAAAAAATGTGTGTTATTAGAAAGAATCCTTATTGGGGACAAAAATGTTTTATCTTTTAAGAGACAAAAATATCTTGACAGCTTCTGACATGTTGACTAGTCTTATGCCTTCGTCTGTCACTAGTTGAATAACCTGTCGAACCACTCTGGCTTCTCTTAGATGAACCGTACAAATGTTGAGTTGCTTTTTTGTACTGGACCAAGAAGTCTTGAATGACTGCATCTCTGGCATTTATCTTTTGTTGAATCTGTTCCTAACAAATACGTCATTGGAGCCCTCAATTGATAGGAACTATGTGAAGTTCATTTGTATGTTTCTTGAATTCGTCAGTAATGGTCTCCAATTTCAGCTATCGTTTTGCCATTGTTGTCTTTAAAGGGACTCCCAAGGTCAGTAACCTTCATCTTTCCCCTGCAATCTCTGCTAGTCAGTTCTTCAAAGATAGACTTTCATTGTGCTTTATGTAGACCCGGTTCATTCTGAGTCCTTTATAATGCAGTAGAGTGATACACTCTTCAATTGTGGGCACCACGTCTTCTGGATTGAATGCGACACATAGTCGCCTTGTAGACTGTCCTCTGTATTTGCATCTCTTGTATTACAACCCCTTTGTCCATTAATACAGATTATTCATGTTTAACAAACATATTTTTTTGGTGGATCAAAACCTCTTTTAAATGATGCAAGTGATGAAAATAAAATAAAATAAAAATGAAAAGAGTTAGTGAGGTGAAAATAATAAAAAATAATCATGAAAAATAAAAGTCCTACCCCACATGATGTTTACCCTACATGCTTTAATTCCTACCCGGACATGATCTCTATCCCGCATGCTAATTTCAAACAAATCCTAATCGCATATTTGTCTAGTTCACATGCTTTGAACAGAAAGTAAGGCAGGAAATAAAGCAATCTAGGGTTTGGAATGAGGTTTTGGGGTGGGCTCTAATTCCTTGTACTCTCCCATATTAGGTTCTAAAAAAGGTATTCGAGTTCTCTTTGCTGGTGCCCCCTTGGGCTTGCCAGACCCTTAGTTATAAGCCCATCACAAGCTTATGTGGACTAAGTTAAACTCGAGAGGATACATTCCCTTATGCCCATACGGAGAATAAAATCACACGAAGACATAAGGTATATGAATCCCAAAGGTTACTTGTTAGGCCCATACAGAGAATAAATTCCCACGAAGGCGTCGCTTTCGCCTCCACTTAAAAGGGTTCGAAGCTCGGGTATAGAGCTAGAGATGACAATTTTAAAAATCTGAAATCATTAAAAACGTTAGTACAACTATTTATTTGAAAAAAAAAATAATCAAAGATAAATAATAAAAATCGAATAAATAAATTAAAATTTAAACTTGTAATTTTCGCTAAAAAAAATAACCGGAAATTAATTTCGGCCTGACTCACTTACCTGTCCCAGCGGAGTTGCCAAACTGTAGAAACCGTCTTTCGGTTGGGCCTCGAATTGGGCTTCGACTTGGATTAAATGAATTGGAGTCGCCACCGACCATTTAAAACAAATTTAGGTGGGTCGGACACATCTTACCTGATCTGCGTTGTATCAGAAACGTGTCGGGTTTGGGAGTCGGTTACGGTCAAGTAATGATTAGCAGCCTTGAACCGCCCTTTCGGTACCAATTAATTTTCCCGTTGTCTTTATTTGCGAAAATTAAAATTTAAATTTAAATTCAAAAATTCAATCCGAATTAATTACCTTTGATCGATTGAAAGTATCCCTAAAAAGTTAAAAATGTGGGATTGTAAAAATAAAAATAAACATGAGAAAAAAATAAAAAAATATATTAATATAATAATATTAATAAAAAATAAATAAATAGATAAATAAATATATATATTTAACAATTTAAAAAGAAATAAAAATATTAAAATTAGGAGAAAATGAAATAAATATATAAAGTAAATAAATAAAAATGAAATAAAAAGAATAAGACGAAAGTTGTTACATCTTCCATGTTTTGCGTGTAGATAAACTGAATTTACAATGAAAATGCTCTGCCACTCATCATGCTTTTAGATACTGGCTTTGGATCCTCCATGCTTATTTTTGTCCTTTTCTTCCCTCGATTTTTCCAAATCGTTGCCCTTTCCTCTGATTTTGATTCTACGTTTTTCTCTGTGTCTTTTCCTCTTGATACTTGAGTCAATTTATAGTTTAAAGAAACCTATTTTTAGCTCAGATTTAGAGTCCTATATAGACTCAAAAGTTTCAGTTTTAGTGTTTCAATAGAATTAAAATACGTTAGTTTTAGTGTTTCAATAGAACTCAAATATATTGATTTATTTTCTGAATCTTACTAAATCAGAGTTGTTAAGCGTGAGATCTGTAAAAATAAAAAAATATTAATAATAATAACAATAATAAATAAATATAATATAATATAATATAATATTTTTGTATACCTGACAAAAACAGATGTTTACAAAAACAAAAGTTGCAGAGAATTACGGTCGCAACTTAAAGAAGAAACTCGGCATTTATTAAATGTTTATATGTACCTCCAACTTACAAGAAATTTGCAGTTGATTATTGTGCGAACTGGTGATGGATTTTCAAAGTTAGAGCTCTTGACCATGAAAAGTATGGGTTCCATATATACCATGAATACGCTCTTCAATTTCCTAGTAGTAGTTCCAGGAGAATGGCTCATCAACCCTGAACCCAGCATCTACTGCACATATTTGCCTCGTTGAAGAATAAGACCTGAACCCATGGCTTCGATCAGTAACATCGACCAAGAGATCAGGTAGATCGAACAAGGTGTCATCGTCGTCATCGACCAAGGGTGAACTTGAGAGAGGAACTTGATCTTCTTGGCTTTCTCCAGCTCCAGCTTCTTCGTCAGCTTCGAACTCGATGTTGCACCGGCTTGTGTCGAGAAATGTCGAAGCAGCCGCTAGCGAAGCGGCTGCCTGGATGTCCTTGGGGGATGTGGTGGCGGGTCGAGGAAGTAGTTCTGCAAGTCGAGGGAAGTTAAGGTAAGCCGAGCTGCCCTTGATGGCCAGTGCAGCTACATCGTGTGCTCGAGCAGCCATTTCAGCCGTGTGGTATGTTCCAAGCCATATTCTTGATTTCTTCCTCGGTTCTCGGATTTCAGACACCCATTTCCCCCAGCTTCGCATCCGTACTCCGCGGTATGTTGGATGCTTCTTGCCATCACCAATATCACTACTACTTTGCCTTTTCTTTGACCCCTTGTGAAGTATACTATATTTCGAAGTGGAGGAGGATGCGTCGGTGGTGGTGGCAGCAGCGGCGGAGATGACGGATGAAGAGAAGAGCATGTTATGACGAGCATCTTGCTGAATGTTGATATCTCTTTCCATGGCTTAGTAAAGAAAGAATTCAGAGTGATCGAGATATAAGTCAGTGGTATCGATATATAAGTCAGTGGTATAGGATTAGGAGCTTATACGATTCTTCCATGAATTTTCATTTTTTTTTTAAAAAAGAAAAAGAAAAATGCATCATAATGATTAAAGAAATAAAGGAGGTTGGGTCCATGGCATAAAGCGAGTACAGTTCAGCATATTCGGCTAATTTCTTACCACGTGGCAAATTGTAGTGAGAAATCATCCTTGGAATTGGACTGCTGTTAGTTCTTTGATTAAACTGGTTTTAAGTAGCTTAGCCTAAGGATTGGTCGTTGATATGTCGCCTTCAGCTTGGCCCAACTATGTCTCGTATGCATGAACAGCGGAAAAACCGAGGAGGTACCATGTTACCTTCTTAAAATTTCAAATCTTCTATAAAAATTTAAATATTTTTTTATTAATCACTAAATTTAAAATCATTAAATTTTTAATATAACTTCTTAAATTCATAGTCCCGACATAAACTCTTACGTTTCTTTCCGAGCTTTCAAAGTAACCAATGGAAGTGAACATGTGAGTTCTGTTATTTTCTCCATGGATTCGTATGGCATATTTGAACATGTGGGTTCTGTTATTTTCTTCATGGATTGGTATGACATACTGATCTTGATTATCAAGTCCTGAAAATCTGCTTACCGTCATCTGAAGAAGTTAACAAGGGAGAATATAGTCATGTATGACAAGATCAAGAACAGAAATATATATATTTTTGCACATGACAGTGGATTCTGACGCTCTGATTCTAGGTTTTGTATTATTATTAGCCAACGAGTCAGCTAGGCAGGAAACTATAACCTCCTTCCAGTTACAACCTATTACATTCCCCAGTAACAATAGGTTTTCGACAGTCTGTGCGAATCACCTTCAACACCTCATCTTCTATCAATATATATTATATGGTCCTGATTATGGGCACATGGACCACCTATTTAAAAAAAAAAGAAGACATTGCAGGACTTTGAGATATTTGTAATAGTTTTCCCCATCAAGCTAACTTCATATCTGTCACTCACTCCTGCAACACTGCTGTTTGCACTCCCAAAGTTTCTAATGCGAGTAGGTTTACATCTTTGTCTCTTTTCTGCACCTTCAGAAATTAAATACATAAAGCAGGTTCTTGGAACTTCCACGGGGTCAGTCCATACTGTAATTCAATATCCCCATATCATGATTCTTGTTTCAATTTAAGAACTCGAAATACCCAACCTACTTCTATTTAACCAAAGCCTCGTCCGAGCATATACAAAACTATGTGAATAAATTTATCATTGGCTTAAAAATGATTATATCCCCATTGATATATGAATCTTGAAATAAAAGGACAATTTGTGCCACAACAATTGTGATTTGTGAGGGGCCAGACAAGTTGTTGCCTTACATTGTCTAAATCCAAACAACCACTAATTTCCATTAACAAGCTAGTCAAGTCTGATCAAATCAAGGGCAAATCAGCAAGTTGTGAACTCTAGTGGGAACATTTCACCAGAGGCTTTTCTTCTTTGTTAGGTAGCAGCAATGGCATGTTGTAGAAGACGTTGCCATCGGTGGGATAAGATTCCAATCTTTGGGTAAATCTTTCATAAATTTCGTCCTACTTATCACTTAATATTAAAAAAATATCTAAATTAAATTACAAATACATGTAAAAGTAAAAGTATTAACACCATCGAATTTAATTAAAATAAATAAAGACTTATGATATTAGACTGATCTAATAATTCTACTTATTGAAAAAGTGGAGTAAAAGTGGTTAAAAGACATCTAGCTACTAAGTATTGTGGATTGACATCGACCTTAAAAATTCCTCTTGTTTATGGAACTCTTTATTATAAAAGGGTATATATTTTTTTCATAAATTGAAAAACAAGTACTAACTAACAAATCAATATAATAATTGAAATTAAGCTAATTTAATTTGACAAGAGTTTATAAATTTGAAATAACAAAGGTTGAAGATACCTGTTTTGGACAATAGGGTCGAACAATTTGAAGGTAGGCACACTCAAAGGAAGTTATATATTATAATCAAAACTAGCATCTAAACATAATAGATACATCCGTGAAAATCAAATCAAACTGTGATGAAATAACACAAAATGCTGGAAAGAACGCAAAGAAAACATACTAATTTATATGCCGGTTGCAGTCACTACCAGACAAGTTTCGAGCAATGCGAAATCTCAATAACCGGCTGCTGCTATAAATACTAGAGGAAAGCAATTCAATGCTCAAATATTTCTTACTGTTGGGCACATTGCACTCTTTGTCCCGACTCCTCGTAGTTGTTGTCATCATCTTCATCATAAGCTTCACGATGCCTATGACTATGCGCTTGTTGTTCCTTCCGGCTCTTTACCTCCTCAGCATTGACATCATGCAAAGTAGTCTCTTCACAGTCATCAAGCTCCATCTCAGTCAAGCGCTTGCTAGGCCTCATGTGCAATACAGTCTCTATCTTCCGGCATTGCTCAGGTGACAATACCCCAGATTCTGGGAAATTAACATTGAAATGGACTATTAGCTTGCCCTTCATGAAAGGTCTCTGATGGTGGGGCATGCCCTCATCATTGATAGCCTTGTATTGACCTACATTTTCAAGCAAGGGTAAAGAAGATCAGCGGATATGATATCAACTTCAAAGGTAGTTTTATATGATAACTATATATGCGGAAAGAAATTACCAGGCTTAATGACCTCGCCAGGGTTTGATTTAATTAAGAGCTGCCTGCCATCAAGGTGAGTGAGCGCAAACTGAAACCCACACAAAGCCTCTGTCAAACTGAGATTGTGTTCCACTTGAAGGTCATCCATCATCCTTTCAAATTTGGGGTGTTTCTTGAGTTGCAACACAAAAACAATGTCTCCAGTTACAGTGTCTGGCTGCAAATGACAATAACAAAAATATGATCAAGCTTGAAGTATTAGAAAATTGTTACTTAAAAGACAAAAGTACTTCACTTACAGCCTCATCAGCTTGTCCCTCGAATGTAATTTTCTGACCATCGCGCATTCCTTTCTCAATGTGTACTTCCAGTACCTTTTTTTCCTGAGTAACCTTGTTTCCTTTGCATTGGGGGCATCTATCTCGATCACTAATCACCTCACCTGCAAGGCAGGAATGAAATCCAATGTTCATAATTTCCGACATATAATGTGTACTAAGACAAAGAAAACAAAGACCAAGTTTCTATACCTGATCCTCTGCATTCAGGACAAACATGCTGCATCTGTTGGATCATACCAATCCCGATCTGCCGTCTTGTAATTTTCATACCTTGACCCTGGCAACCATTACATTTAGAGGAAGCTCCACTCTTTGAACCTTTCCTGAAAATGTTCAGAATGCAAGTGCATAAAGTGTAATCAAATCGGTCAATAAAGGTTCTCCGCAGAGGATATATAGGCCATCAGCAGAAACACGAGACAAACAACTTCAGTGATAGCCTCATATCAAGTTACAGCATAGAAGTAAAGATAGCAAAGAGCATCAGTTCCAAAACTTGTAGAAGACCACAATGAAAAGAAAACAAGTACAGGTTTAGAACAACTAAACAGACAACAGCAGTCAGTATGATTCTCAGGAAACCTATGATATCTTTTCAAGCGTAAATAAAACATCATCATACACAAAAAAGAGCACTGATGGGCAATTACAAGATATAAGATGTTGCGACCTATGAAACGATTTAAGCACATAAATAGAGCATTCTACGCAAAAAAGAGAAATGATGGGCAATTAGAAGAAGATATCAGATGTTAGTTACACATAAAAAGCATTAATATTATTTGACAAGGATTTAGCCTCAAAGCACCACAGGTCCAAATTCACATTTTCTATAAAGAAAATCCAGTTAACCATAAATGTAGTTGATATGGTAGACATACCCTTTACATTTACTGCATATTGCATTCCTGGAAAGAGAGAGTTTTTTTGTTGCCCCATTGTACAACTCTTCCAGAGAGACTTTAAGAGGATGCACAACATCTTCACCTCGCTTCTGCCTTCTACCTCTTGAGCTACCACTGCCTAAATAATAAAAAGATTTGTGATTCAAAATTGCGAATGAAACTTCCCTTACAAGAAAGTTCAATCAGAAAGAGAAAAACAACACCATGTCTTACCACCAAAGGCTCCCCCACCAAAAAATGACTCAAAAATGTCAAATGGGTTGTGAGAAGGACCACCTCCTCCCATTCCCTCTTTAAGAGCATCTTCACCATACTGATCATATATTTCTCTCTTCTCCGGGTCACTAAGAACTTCATAAGCATGAGCCAACTCCTTAAACTGGGAAGCAGTATAAAAAAATAGTGTTATTAAGTAAAACACAAATGCAATTCATTATCATTTTACTTGCACGGTATGTTTGGGAAATTACACACATAAACAAAAAGCTGTAAGCTATATTATCTCCATATTTTTAAAAGGAAAATGAAAGTGCATCCAAAAATATGCCAAATTTATTTCATGACCAAGTATACAAAATCTCGAAAGAACAACAAAATTGTAACCTTATCGATAAAAGATTGTTTTATCCTTACCTTATCAGGGTCACCACCTTTATCAGGATGATTCTTTATAGCAGCTTTCTTATATGCCTTCTTCAATTCATCTTGATTTGCACTTTTTGGAACCCCGAGTACTTCATAATACTTACTGTTATCAGACTTCTTTGGAACACGCCCAAACATGATTGAATCACTTCAACTATCTGCATTAAGTAATATAACCGTAAATCCACTAATGAGACAAAGTCTAAATTAACGATTAAATCTGATGTAAAACAAGTCCCAATCAAGGAATAAAAACCCTAATTTGAAACCATGGATTCAAAAAGTTATCAATTTTATAAAAGAATTCTCTAATTCTAAACAAACATAAGCTCGTTAAACATAAACGAAAACGAACGACCCAACGCAGTTTTAACCAAGAATCGCAAAACTAAAATACTCAGGTTAGGGTTTTGAGGGAAGAAACAAGCGATACAACTCTCAATTAAGGAATAAAATCAGAAATCCTAACTCAAAATAACATAATCGAAAAGCTATCAAATTTTTCATCTAAATATCTCTAATTCTAAACAACCAGTAGCTCATTAAGCATACCAAATAACAAAAACGAGAGACCCAAAGTTGTCACGTACGAATCGCAAAACTAAGAAACTCACCGGCAAGGGGTTTGAGGGAACAAATACGACAAACACAAACGAGATGGGATCTTGCGAGATAAAAAGCTCGAGAAAGAGAGATGTGGGCACGATTCTTCTCCCCCAAGTTTATACTCGCAAACTGTAGAGGAGTTTTACTGAGGGAGGATCCTTCTATTTAAAAGAAAAAATAAATTTCTACTTCCAGGCCTCTTTTTTATTGTGTGCACTCCCAACTTAACCGGCTTAGTTCAAATCAAAGGGTTTGTTTGGGACTGGAAGTATATATTAGTGAGCGGCGAAAGTATAGTTAATACCAAGGTTGTGGTATCACGTGGTAATTGGTGTTAGTGGCACGCCTTTCCAACAGCGGAATACAATTAAGAAAAGAACATAGGATTGTAAACAAAACATCTTGACCGTCAAATATATTTTTAAAATTATCGACGGCTGATGTAGCACTATAAAGATTTTGGCGGCTTGCAGAAACTCAGCCGTCAGTGCAGTCGTAATTGATGGCTGAAATGTAAACGACGTCGTGCAGGAAAGAAGTACACGGTGTTTAAATATGAAAGGTGTAGACAAAATACATATGTATCTTGAACGGTTAAATATATGAATCAAGTTACTTCAATTCTGTACACTTCAGAGGCTTTATTTTTTTTATAATTACAATAACTTAATTGATATACCAATTAATTGAATTTTAGAGTAAATTATATATTTAATCAATCATTTATTTTTATGTTTTGATCACTTAATTATTATTCTTTTAAATTATATATAATGTTATGTTTTGATTCTGTTTTGATCATTTACGATGTTAACGATCACTATAAAATAATGTCACACTATCATTGAAAAATAAAATAAAAAATTATTATATCAGCATAAATGTTAATATCTTGACAAACAGATGACTAAAATATAATCAAAATATAACTTTAAGTATGATTTTGAAAAAAAATAATAATAGAGTGACCAAAACAAAATCACAAAAATTATAAGCGAGTGACTAAATATGTTGACAACACACATACTACAAACCATAACTATTTAAACTCAAAATCTTAAAGGAAAATAATACTCATTCTAACTATTAAGGTCACTTGATAGATCAAATCAATTAACATTTTTTAATTATATTAAGATTGTTTTTACATACTACGCCAAAGAAAAAGAAGCAATATCGTCATAACATCAACTAGACTCGATGGAACGAGTACATTTCATTTTATTGTTATAATATTATTACAAACCACTATACTCTTTCATTTCCATTCAAATTTTTGTCCCTGTTTTCCTCTGCAGAGTTATTATAAGCTTAGTCGCAGCATGTGTAGCCTCCCCCTCCACTTGGCACGTTAGGATATGATCTTGGTTTTTCATAATTCTGAAGAAGCTTCCTTCCTGCTCCCAACATCAAAAATCAAATATACTGTTAATTAAAACATTGAAATTTCTATATAACGATAACTATTATTGTTAGAGTTTGTAAATTAATTTCCATTTTGATCTGATTTAAAAAGCTCGTAGTACAGAAAAAATTAATTACCCAGAATGAAATAGTGAGGGGGAGCAGCAGCAGCAAAAGAAGACGCGAGAATCATGATGGCTATGAAGACCATCACCGTCTTCACAAAAGCCATTGATGTCAAAACTTGATTATAAATCTGCAAAAGAGTAGAGGATTTGGGCTTGGAAATAAAGCAGAACAAGGCAAGTTACTGATATATAATGCATGCATAACTTGGTATTTATAGACAGAAATCTTTACTTTTTGGTCGATGAAGATTAATCAAAGTTCTGAACATCACTGACTAATTCCATCTTTGAAATTTGATCTTTCAACATTGACGCTGGGAAATGAATGCTGAGAAGAGTAATAAATTCAACGAAACGACTTCTCCTTCTAGATGAAAAGCAGGGACGTGGCTAGGTTGTCGGGGGTCCTGTACAAATTCTTATAAAAGGCCTCCTATTTTTTAGATATATTCGATTTCGGAGCAACAATTGTGGTGCTTTTTGACAAACGCCGCAATAGGTCCATCTATAGTGGCGTTTTTCAATAAAAGCCGCAACAATAGCGAATTTTTTTGACAAACACCGCAATAGATTCATCTATAGTGGCGTTTATTGAAAAAACGTCACTATAGATATACTCGACGAGACCCCTATTTTTTGGAGCCCTGCGCGGCGCCCCTCCTTCACACCCTCATCCACGCCTCTGATGAAAAGGTACAGCATTTTATTGGAGAAAAAGGGGCTGAGAATTTCTCATGCAGTTAACTGTCATTTTACTCATGAATTATACGTTACATACCCTTGAAATTTTTTTGATAACGTAGGTGAGTTTCCTGGTGAAAAAAAATATGAATTTGTGTATTCTTATATTATCAATGCTGATTTTTTTTTTAAATTTTTATATAATCTGAGAATTTTTATATATTTTTTAATTTCTATATATTCATTGGTACGTCTGTTTCTGTCTACCGTCTCTATCTGAATTATAAAGGATTGTTTATAATAAAACAATATAAGATAATGATTTCAATTTATAGTTTTTTTCTAAGAGCGTTTCTTCTTTTAATTATTTTTCTTCCACCTCCTTCCAACATAAACAAAACATTTGTCTCAACGTTGGGAAATAAATCATGAGATCAAATTATTTGTTTTTGATCAGAAATAAAATAAATATTCGATGGTCCAAAATCACATATATCATCAACAAAGTCAAAGTCAACCATGTCGAGTTGTCTTCCCCTGGGGCTAGAATTAATATGTCTCTTTTATACGTGAAGTTGTGTCCTCTGAAATCTATCTTGTGTTGATAATTAAATAATCCAGGGCATGGATATTGGAAAGCTAAGCCAGAGTGTTAAGTGGCGATTACAGTTGTATTATTGACCTCACTTACCTGTTTGTACAATGACCATAACTTCTCAAGTCTTTCTTTAATATGTCAAAACTCAAGCCGCATTTTAAATATTCTTGTCGTAACCGTGTTTCGGTTGGGTCCCGAAATTGGACTTCAACGTGAATTAAATAAATTGGGAGTCGCTACCGATCATTTACTTTACGAAAAGCGGGTTGATCGGATACCTTATTTCTTATCTGATATGCGTCTTACCAGAGATATGTCGGATTCGGAAGTCGGTTACAGTCAAGGAAGGGTTAGCACCCTTGAACTGCCCTTTCGGTACTACGTAATTTCCAGTTGTCATTAAGTAAGAAAATTGAAAGTTTAACTCAAAATGCAAAATTACGATCCAAAATTACTTACCCTAATTCGATTTGAAAATATCCCATTTAAAAAAGACGAGAAACAGGTTAGAGGAAAAAGACAATGAAAGTAAATAAATAAAACAAAGAAAACACATAAATAACACGAATAAACAAAATGAGATTAAAAAAATAAGAAAATAAAAGAAGTAAAAGTAAAAATAAATAAGAAAAAAGAATGAAGTAATGAATCTAATAATAAAAAAACAACAATAAAAATAATGAGAAAAAATACAAAGAAAATAAAAAATAAATGAAAAAAAAACAATCACATAAAATAAATAAAAAAATATAAATTAAAAGTAAAATAGTAATATCAATTATAATGATAATTATAAAAATATAAATATATATGTTAATAGCAAAAATAAATAGTAATAATACTAGTTATATGAATATATATATATATATATATATATATATATATATAACAATTTATAAACAATGTATAAAAATATAATAATAATAATAAGTATTAAAATAAAAAAAATAATAGTAATAATTAAAAAAAATAAAAGAAATTATAAAGAATATGAAAATCAAAGTATATATATATATATATATAATATATAAATAAAAAATAAAGTATAAATGAAATAAAAAATAATAATAATGGAAATATAAGTAAACATATATGATATTAGTAGGAGATTAAATTGAAATAAAAGCTAAATCAGTGGACAAATGTTAAAGAACATTGAAGATTAAAACCGGCAAAAATTAAAAAAATATCATTTTTTTATAGATTTCCGTATTCTCACTCCAAAAATGTAATTTGTTTTTGCGAAATAGCCTCTGAGGAACGTAGATCTGAAATCAAAGTTTCGAAAAACTCCCTTCAGGTCTTCGGCTAAAACATTTGTCTTTGGGGTTCTCAAGCAAAGAAAATGCGATTAACAACGTATGTAAGTGAAGAGTAAAGAGAAACAAACGAAAGGTAAAAAAAAAGCTTTCACCTTTATTACTTCGAATCGTTTACAATAGCCTCGAAATCACTTTTTCTATGATTGTATTTTTCTGGCATTCCTTTTGTGTAACTCCTATGTGTTCTGGTGTGGTAATTACAAGGCTTATTTATAGTACTAAAAAATCCTATTTTAGACTAGTATTTGAGTCCTAATCCAACTCTATTCTAGACTAGTATTTGAGTCCTAATCCAACTCTTATTTATTGGTTACATGAAGACTCCTCGATTGATAGGACAAAATCTGGTGTCTTCAATTGTTATTTTCATACTTACCTAATCCTTTTATTTGTTAAATTTCACAACTACTGGACTCAGCGAAAAAAATTATCCATTTTTTATTTCGAAGATGGATTATTTATTTTTCAATATAAAATTTGCTTTAAAGTCAACTTGTTATTTTTAATTTAAAAAATACCCATAGCATGATGCCTTTTTTTTAATACAATTATTTGTTCATGATTCATAGCCAACAAAAGTTTGTATTTCTATATATAGTCCTTTAAAAGTTCATAGCCATTTGTAAAACTTTTCTCTGCAGTGGAGAACAATTTCTGCAGTTCTTGAGGTATAGCACCAACAGGCAACAGCGGTGGGTGTTTTTTCGTGTTGTTCTTCAACTGTCCAGATATGGAAAGATGCACAAGGGAGATTCCACCGGCTCATTACTCGTTCAAAATAGAAGGATTCTCCTTACTGTCGGATACCAAGGTTGAAAAAATTGAATCTGGTATTTTTGAAGCTGGTGGCTATAAATGGTACGTATCAACTCTATCAGTGATCACAATAGCTTCTTGCTTTGGGTGGACTTCGAGCGAGGTTGCTCCTCTTAAAATTTCAATTTTTTTTTATAATATATATATATATATATATATCGTTAATTTATTTTCTTCCCTAGTATAAAATCATGGATTCGTCCCAGTTTACCGATGAATTTAGTGCTAACCTAGTCATTCATGGTTGCTAGGAGGATGGTTCTCTACCCAAATGGAAACGCAAAAAGCAATGGGAAAGACTTTATTTCTCTCTATTTAGCCATTGAAGAAACAAAATCTTTGCCTCAACGTTGGGAAGTTAATGCTGAGTTCAAATTATTTGTATTTGACCAGAAAGAAAACAACTACTTGACAGTCCAAGGTATTATAGCTTCTTCTTTCTTTTACTTATGAAACTAGTTCATCCGGAGTTGAATTTTGTAGATTCTGGTGACAAAAGAATAAAACGTTTTCATGAAATGAAGACCGAATGGGGATTTTCCAAGTTAATCTCCCTGGAAACTTTGAAAAATACAAGCAATTATGGATATCTCTGCAATGGCTCCTGCGAATTTGGAGCTGAAATTTTCGTTATTAAACCATGCGGTAAAAGTGAGTGTCTTTCCATGATTAAAAACCCTGACCGTTCTACTCTTACTTGGAACCTGGAGAAGTTCTCCACACTCAAAGAGACTAGTTATCTCTCTAAACCCTTCACCGTTGGAGGAAGAAAATGGTACGTTCTTCATTTCCCAAAAATCATGTTTGACATATACAACCTATTTTATTTATACCTGTATTGATTCCTGCAGGAACCTTAGGGTTTACCCAGAAGGTAATGGGGATACAAAGGGCGATTGGCTCTCAGTTTATATAATTTTATCTGATTCTGATAATCTTCCACCTAAAGGAACAGTATATGCACAATATACCATACGGGTACTAGATCAACGACGAGATCAACATGCTCAAAAATCAGGTACAACTTCAAAACTCTATATATGTGTGTCCGTCCATAAAAAATATAGTGACCAGCTTATAAGGATTCTGTTAACATTTTTATGTACACAGTTTTCTTTTAGTGTTAAGGTTACAAATTACATTATAGGATCATCACCTTCTATTTTTGCAGGAAAAAAGTGGTTCTCGGTCGCAAACAAATCATGGGGTTATGACGTAGTACGGCTAGGTGACCTGCATGAAAAATCCAAGGGATTCGTTATGAACGATACTTTGATCATTGAAGCTAAAATTACCCTCATTTCTGTGACTAAGTCCTCCCATTAGTAGTTGATTACTATTTACTTTGTACGTTCTGTTCTAATTATACTATAATGATCGATTATGTAATGCCGTAATAAATATTTCTTTTCACTGTGTTGTATTAATAAAAGTAAATTTTAGTAATTTGTTTGTTCAGAACATTTGACTTTGTCTGTTTAGTGCAGCAACCATGAAACTTCTCAAATCTCTCTTTACCATTGACTTCACTTATCTGTTTATAGGCGATGACCAAAACTTCTCACGTATTTCTTTAATGTGTTAAAACTCAAGTGGCATTATGAAGATTGTTGCTTTCATAATTAAATTTTTTTCGACAATCAGAATTTTTTTAATTAATAACGATGCACGTACGTCATGCAAATTTGTTAATAGTAATATTCCATTTTACAGTTGAATTCGTTTGATGAATTCGAATCCCTGTTATAATTTATATTCCGATTATATATTTATATTTTCATACAATAGAAGAAAAAAATAAGGAACACGCCCTTGCATTACCTAATGAAGTACGCAAAGAGCAATATTTTATTCTTACAAATCCCTTTTTTTATTCATACACAATTTCTGCAATCACGTGGCCAGCCTTGTGTTACTAATATTGCAAACTAGCTACTTTAATGAGAATCTTTTTCTTCCCCTGGTTTGTTTGCTAACAGTGCGGATTGAGATAATGAAACTGACAAAGAAGAAGAATCTGTGCTCGTTCTTTAGTTAATGTCGATTGATACTATTTTCTTTTAATCAGAAAATGAAACAAAAGCAGGGTTTTTCATACCACTTCCTATCCTTGTGGGTTCCCTATGAATGTGTGCTTCAGTTGGTTGCGCTCGAAGTGCTCAAGGAGTATCCTGCAATCACGTATCAAACTACATAGTAAGGGGTTAATGGTTCGACATCATAATAATAAATAGGGGTGTTAAGAAAAATCTGGAACCGTTAAATATAACCGTTAACTGGTATAACAGTTATATTTAACATATTATTTAATCAAACCGTTAATACTAAACGGTTTCGGTTTATCAAACCGCTAAACTTGATGGTTAATGATTAAAGTTACGATCATACATTTTGATAAACGGTTAACTGTTAATAAATTAAATTTAGAATTTATTATATATTTACACAAATAACTTAAAATAATTTTCTATTGCTTCTGATTTATATATATATTTAATAAAATTTATACACAAATAACTTAATATATATATATATATATATTATTTTAAATGTTTTATTTCTTTAAAAATACAAAAACATATTTACACCAATATAATTAAGTGTCTATTGTTAGGTACTAAGATATTGAGAGATGTAAATACTTATACCGTTGTAAGTATGTGTTAAGTGTTATATTTTTTATTTTATTTAATTACAGAGGTGTAAGTATGTGTTAAGTACTACACTTTTTTTTATTCACTTACACCGGTGTAAGTATATGTTAAGTGCTATATTTTTTTGTTGTATAAATTATAAAAAAATTGACAAATAATTATAATAGGTTAACAGTATGTTAACCTGTAATTGAACTGTTAATAACATTTAACCGTTAGCAGTTAATTATTTCTTAACGGTTAGATTACGTGCGGTTAGAAAAATCTTATATTTATTATAACAATTTACCGATCGTTTAGGCTAAACAATACGATTAACTATCCATAAATTGTCCTAATAATAATGGCCTTAGCATCACTTTCCACTATAATTTTTCTAATATTAGCGCTCCTAACTAACGTAGGAGTTAGGACTATCCTACCGAGTCCATAGCATCAAAGTTCCATTGAGAAGGCATACTAGGATAAGTGTGTAAATGAACATAACGTTCAATGAACTATTCGTGAATAGTTTATAAATTGTTTATGTTCGTTTACTAAATTAAATAAATGAATATGAATAATATTTTTATGTTCATTTAATAAACGAACAAATGTGTGTCTAATTTTTTTTTATATTCACGAACAAGCTGCCAAAAGGTTATTTACTGGATTTCCATATTTCTTTTTATTTTTTACATTTTAAATATGACATAATGACAAAACTAACCCTCAATATTTATCCAAAATGGTACCTTGGACCTCTATTATTTGTGAAGTTTTTTTAGCCTCGTAAAGTTTTTCTTTTTTATCAAAATAATCACTGTTTGTTGAAAAATATTAGTTGAATAAATGTCAACATATGTTATCGACTTAGCATTTCTACATGTATTTAATTAGTGGTGTGATACCTATCATGTCATCATTTTGGATGATATGACATATATCTTATCATCATTTTCGGTAACGTCACATATATAATATCATCACTTTACCTATCACTTTGGATAACATTACATATACTATGTCATCAATTTTGGTAACGTATTACATGTCATTTCTCCAGTAAACACACGTGATAATGTCACAAAAGTATAATGTCTTGATTGTTAGTCAAATAATTGTATTCGGATATTTTGACCAAAAATTAAAATATTCAAATTAAAATATTTTTAAAAAATAATCATTTTAACAAACATCGTAGACACAAAATTTGTAAAAAAATGATAGCATGTGACATATATGTGCTTAGGGAAAACTTTAGAAGATGGGGAGTCTAATTCCCATGTTTGGTGGTTTTGAGAGTGTTTACGAAGTGGGTAAAATTTGGGAATCCCATTGTCTCTTGGTGTAAAGTAATCAAGAAAAGTCCTTGTATTCCAAGGCATGCTTGTGTTGCTTGGTCAACTGTTCGTAACAGATTGTCACTCAAATATAGGATCATGTTGATCCACTGTGTGTGCTTTATGGCGAGTTCACTGAGAATAAGACATCTTTCTATTTATTATAACTTTCAAGAGAATTATGGTTGACAATTTTGCAAGCAAGTGGGTAAAATGAGTGGAAGATATCATGCTCCAAAACAATGGAATCAAGCATGTAACGACGACAGTTAAATGTGGACAAGGAACCAATGGTAATAGTTTACGAAGAGAATAAATAAAAGAGAAATAAAGTTTTTACTAAATTGGAAAAAAATTTACAAAAGCTTTATCTTAACTCAACACTTCAATAGGCTTATATAAGCCCTTAATGATATACTAAAAATGCATGTACTGAGGGTGTAATTGTATTTCTAGAAATTTTATATATATATTTTTTGTATTTTTATTGATTATCTAATTTTATACATTTTAATTTTTTATAATTTCACATCTTTAATGTTCTAAAATAATTTTTTTAAATTCGTAACTTCTAACATAAATTCTTATATACGTCCCTGTGAGAAAGAAATAAATCATTTAAAGCTTCGATACTTTGATTAGCCTGGAGAGCATTTATACATGTTGTTTGGCAAGAGAGTTTGTAGACAAGGGTGTGCTAGACGACTTGAATTAGGGATAGACATTTTACTTGAATCTGAAAAGTTTTAATTTAATTCTGTTAAATAAAATTCATAAGATACGACCGAGTTAGATTTAAAGTAATAAAATCAATATGATCTAGCTTGAGATATTAATATAACTTTTTATATATTTAAAAATAATTATAATAATATTTTTATATTATTTGTTAATAGATTCTCTGTCTTATTTAATAAATTTGAAAATATACCTATTCAGATGGAATTGAATTTAGCCGAGTATGGGTTTTACTTTTAAAAGTTAATCCGGTTTGGGTGGAGTAGACTGCTAAACTCGAGACAATTTGAGTGCGGGTGAAGATTTTAATTTTCAAAAGGATGGATTGAAAATTCAATCCGACTCATCTGACCATTCTAATATCAACTCTGAAGAGGCCAGAAAGCGAGACTCGCATTTACAGGATCACGCGGACCATATGTCGACATGCGGTATATACATCACATGATGATGCAGTGGGTTCAGGATACTATCCCACGTAACCTCCACCCTTCCCTCCTCAGCCTGACATATCCTAAACTCCAAACTCTTCTCCCGCTGTATGCAAATGCAATGCATTGCATAATGATGAAAAGAAAATAAGTGGGGGATTTGATGTAAAAGCTCGCATCACACGAGTAAATCACAGAATCATTAAAGGTAAATATTTTGTTTCCTTATGACAAAGATTTGATTAAAGCAGGACTTTGCCGGTACTAATTATATTATATCAGATTACATATCTCAGTTGAATGATTGGTTTGGAAACTTAAACCAAGTGAAAGGATAACGAGAACAATAAATAAGAAATAAAGTTTATATTAATGAAGGATCAATTGTTTATAATCCAGTATATTTTAAACGTGTTTTATCACGAGATTATTAGTTTCTTTTTAAAAGACATATAATATGATATGATATCTTTCTAAATCACATGACTCTCCTGCTTTTCGATGTAGGGAAAAATCTCCAAAATTAAATAAGCCCGTACGCGTTCGCTGGCCTTGAGACAAGCAAGTCAACAGTGCTGACCCCGCAAATTGATTAGCCTCGTGATTTGGTGGAGGCATGCAGGTGAAATGCTACTCACGGGCCCCATCCAAGGACTACTTGGGGGAAGAACTATGCGAGTAAGAGATTGCTGTGCGCTTGATTTACTATCATATCAAATCATATCCGACGGATTTTCAAATGATCGTGGTCCCAGCATCTGGGGGGATTACACCAGCTTTTGCTATGACCCCAAATCCATTCATCGCGATAAACAAAAGCTCTCCAAGACCCTTAACATTACAAATTACACATCCTTCTAAGTGTAGCTAGCTAGCTAGCGTGATTTTCTAAAACCACGGTTTAGAGCTGATTCATGGTTGAATGGTATATTAAACTAGCGTTGCGTTGATTCATGCAAGTGCAAGCTGAGCCAAGAAAGAAAAAGGGTTAAATAAAATCATGATTGAGCCAATATGGTCACTGACATAAGTCATGATTTGAATCTCTGCCCGTCTCTCTCTCTCTCTGGCTCTGTTTTATCTCTATATATGTTGTCCCATCCTTTCACCCTTGTGCTGCACCAAAACCCAAAGACTGTTAATGCTCTAGCCATGTCCTGCACTTCTTTTCTGTTTTGCTTTTTCTCATAAACCAAACACACAAGGGAGAAACACCAGAAAGTAGGAGGAAAAAAGGACAGACAAAATAAGATATGGGGCATAAAAATGATGGTTTGGGGTTAAGTTTGAGCTTGGGATGTGGTCAGAATCAACCTTCTTTGAAGTTAAATATCATACCTTTTGCTTCACCCTGCATGCAAAACGTTCAGCAGCAGAACATTTGGAATAAGCTGTTTCCGTCTTCTGGTATTTCTAATATTTGTTCTGTTTCTTGGTTACATGAACTCTTATTATTCTGAAATCTGACGTTTTGTTGACGTTATGTTGCCAATGGGGTACATTTTTTTTAGCCTTTTGTGATTAATCATATGCATGCAAATCGAGAGTTGGACACAAGATCGGTTCTTGGTGGAATTGATGTGAACCGAGCACCGGCAACGGCTGAATGCGAGGAGGAAGGAGGGATCTCCTCGCCCAACAGCACCGTTTCTAGCATAAGTGGGAAGAGAAATGAGAGAGACCCTGCGGGTGATGAAACCGAGGCTGAGCGACCCTCATGCCCTCCTTCCAGTGACGATGAAGATGGCGGCGGCGACGATGATCATGCCTCGAGGAAGAAGCTTAGGCTTTCAAAGGAACAGTCGTTGGTGCTTGAAGAAACCTTTAAGGAACACAGCACCCTTAATCCGGTTAGTTAATCATTTTGCATTTTCGTGAATATAGACAGTTTAAGAATTCGATGTTTGTAGTGAAACGTCGTGTGGTTTTGTGTGCTTCTAAAACAGAAGCAAAAGTTGGCACTGGCAATGAAACTGAACCTGATGCCTAGGCAAGTGGAGGTTTGGTTCCAGAACAGAAGAGCAAGGTAAGTTGATCATTGTTTAATTAATTGTGTAGGTTACAATTAAGCATTTTCTTTGGTGCTCGCACAGGACAAAGTTGAAGCGGACGGAAGCTGACTGCGAGTATCTAAAACGATGTTGCGACAACCTGACAGAGGAAAACAGAAGGTTGCAGAAGGAAGTGCAAGAGCTTAGAGCATTAAAACTCTCTCCACAGCTTAACATGCACATCAACCCTCCAACAACACTCACCATGTGCCCTTCTTGTGGACGTGTATCTTGTGCCGCCTCTACCCCAAAGCATCATCATCCGAGTCCCGGTCGTCAAATATCGGTGCCCATTAGTCCTTGGGCTGCATTGCCATTGCCGATTACTCGTCCATCATTCAATGCCCCTGATTCTGGATCGTAGTTTGAATATGTTTGGAGAACAGATACCATCAAAATAGTGTCCACAAGGGAACGAAGCATGCATATCCCAAAATCAGCTGTGTCTCAAGTTCTCATGGATCTTAAGGAACAATGTACTCCTCACGAAACCATTTATGTCCTATACATATAACATTTGATAAGAGAATGTTCAGCAATGTATTTTTACGATCGATTAAAAGATGCAAATTCTAACCATATTCCTTCGCTATTATTTGCTAGCGAAATTGCATTTGTTCTTAATTTAAAAACATTAAAATATCTTTATTAATAATTAAAAAGATTTACAAACATATATTAATTCAAATGAAAAACAACTTGATTTTGCTTAAACAAGACATGAAATTTATGTCAGGAGAATCACCTATCAAAATCAGATGTACGACACCAATCGATCCAGATTAATCATTTAAAACCTTGAAATCGTGAAGAAAAAAAAATTCTAGACATATACCAACTCATAATTCTTATCCTTATGATATCAAATTTCAACAAATAGAAATATTCATAAAGATTAAAAAAATTACCCATCTTACAAAGGATAAAAGTACCACCCACCAATAACTCAATAAGGGAGCGTCAATGTATGTAACGTCATTGTAAAAGGCCAAAGTTTGTGTTCTTAACTTCTTATTTTAAATCAACTTTACTCTCTTTGCAACCGAACTATTATTTCCTTGGTTCTGAAGTCTTCCTTTCTTCCACCAATCGAAGTATCGTTAAGTGTCCTCTTTTATCCTCGTTTTGACCAAAAAGAAGGAAGAGAAACCCAACAAAACAAGCTGAATCAGAGAAGCTTTTATCCTTTAATAATGGCGGATTCATACCCTCCCTTCACGACCAGACCCTCCACAAAGGCTAACACCATACACAGAAACAATAGTAGTAATAACTACACGCGCCGCTTTCTTGGTAAGTTCCTGTTTTTCACTTCCTTTCTCATTGCAATGCCGTTGTTCCCTTCCCAAGCTCCAGGTTTCATCAACCAGAAAGTGCTCAACAAGTTTTGGGAACTTCTCCATCTTTTGTTCATTGGCGTTGCCGTTTCTTATGGCTTGTTTGGTCGTAGATCAAATGCTGATAATGTTAGTCATGATGATTCTCACTCGTATGCTTATGGAATTTCCCATTTTTCATCTGTTTTTGAAGATGATTTTGATCATTCCGTGTACTATAGTGCACAGGGTAAAGTTGGTTCTTTTAATGTTAAAAATGGTATCTTTGAGAACCCTTAAGTGGAAAATGTTGTTCAAGCTTGGAGTTCAAAGCATGTTCAAGGGGAACCCATGGTTGTGTTGGCTCAACCCCATTGTGAATTGGGTTCGTTTGTAGATTATAAACCCTTGGGGTTGCCTGTTTGGAGCTTAAAATCCAGGGTTGAATTTGGCAATGGATCAAGTGAGTTCTCTGGTGCAAGTGCGGTGGATTCGTTAAATAGTTCTGATAAGTTAGAAGGTGAGAAGTCTGGTGATTTAGGGTTTGGAAGTTTGGAAGGGAAGTATAATGCGAGTGATGTTTTGGGTTCGCCGATCCCTTGGCGGCCGAGATCTGTAAGGATGAGACAAAGAGTTGGCGGCGGTGCCACTCGGCTTTCTCATTTTAGGCCTCTCTCGGTTGATGAAACTCAGTTTCAATCAATCAAATCACGGTCTTTCCATTTCGAACTCAGTCCACATTCACCGAGTAGCTTATCGCCCTCACATTCTAGTTCATCGAAGTCACTGATTTCCAATGAATTGAAGGAATTCAGTGACAACAAAAAGGATGATTCATCAAGTGGTACTAAAGAATGGATTTCAGGCTATGCCCTGAAATTTGATGCAAAGCCTGTGGCTCCCTCTAAAGCTTCCTCAAACGAAAGCCGTTTCGGGCCTTTAGAGATAGTGGCAATAGCAGAGGTGAAAGTGAGCTGAAATTCCGACGTTATAATCTCTCAGTTGGGTTCAAAAGGCAGCATCTTGGAAGTAACTCTGACATACAAAACCCAACATTTTCCAAGAACCAGAACCGAGAACAACCAGAGTATTCGAGGTCGGTGAATTCGGATGAAGAAACCATGGCCGGGACTTTGAGTGTAGCTGAAAGTGATAGTTATGAGGTTGATAGGAAGGCTGGTGAGTTCATAGCCAATTTCAGAGAGCAGATTAGGCTTCAAAGAACATCAATTGATTCACTAAAAGGGCTCAACACATGGTAATTTTTTCAGATGAGAATTATTTGTTATTCTATCATGTCTTACATAGTTGGAATTTGAAAATAAGAACTCTCTCTCTTCCTTTGATCAAATTTATGCAGAACCATATATTCAGTTATTAGAACGTGTCTTGAATAATTTCATTGAGTTTTACTTTAGATACGGATGAGAATGAGATGACCATAACAATATGCTCGGCAACTGTGATTTTACTAGTAAAAGAAAATTGAATTTGGATTCGAATACCAGCAATTGTAGGGTATTTAAGAGTTTATTGTCAAATGATTAAAAATAACAAAAGCTTTGAAATTCATAACTATAACCACTATTCAAATCCAAATATTTAATAAATATTTTCAAATTCCCATATAATGCAGACATTGTCATTATATTTTTCTATTAATAATTTATCTTTATTTTTAAAATTTTATAAATTAGTACATAGTTACAAGATAATATATGTTCATAATATTTTTTAGTCATTGACAATACATACACATCTTGTAAACTCAGCTGCTCAGATCAAAAACCTTTAAGAATAATTATTTTTTCTTTAACAATTGAGATCACTCAATATGTTCAATTATTAATTTTTTAAAATTAATTATTATATAAAAAATTCAAACCAACCACCACCATGTTATTGTTTATTAGAAAAATAGAAAATTTTAATGTTTAAAACTTGCAAAATGGAGCTTTTTTGTGTAAACTTTTCAAGTTTTGTTTTTACGAACTGCATTGTGTTCATTTTGTGTTTTTTTTTTCATTTTCGGTTCGGTTAGTACAGAGAAAGGGGTATTTTATTTAATATTTGATTCCGGTTTGACTCGAAAGTTGAGAGGGTCATGGAAGAGAGGATGGAGAACAAGTTTAGTTTTCATATCTTTCCTGAGGCATAGAGATCGTGGAAGCATGCTTGGTGAAATTGGTTGGCAATGGCTCGGCGTTGCATGAAAATGCTTCAATTTTACTGCTAAATGTTTAGTCGTGTAAGATTAGGAAAGTGTTCCATGTTTGTAAATGCTCCTTTTTTTGAAAAAAATTGGTCTAATATTTAGAAGAAAATCTCATCAAATAGAAAATTATTTATTAAATAAAGGCTTATATAACGAATAAGTACTTAAAGTATGTCCTCTTTTTTATTTAAGTACCTAAAGGAATTTTTGGTCAAAATAAGTTCCTAAAGTTATTTTTTTGGATCAAAATAGGTACTTAAAGTATTTTTTTAATCAAAATAGGTATCTAAAGTATTCAAATTTTTTCATCCAAGTACTTAAAGTATTCTTTAAATAATGTCACATGTCAATTTTTTTAGAACTTAAATGAAAAAGTTTAAATAGTTTAGGTACCTATTTTGATATAAAATAATTTAAGTATTTATTTCGACCAAAAAAAATACTTTAGATACTGAAATGAAAAAAAAAATATACTTTTAAGTACTTGTTTATGATATAAGCCTTAAATAAACTGAACCAATACAGGTTTAGTCTTCCAAGTTTGTATTTTTTTATTCCAGAAAATATATTTTAATGTTTAAATGGAAATCTCACTTAATTTTCTTGGTTCATGCCCAGTCGATGGATTTTGCTTGATCAGACCAATTTAGTATTACTTTTGCAAAGTGAAAAAAAAATTAGAAGTATTTTTTAAAAAGTAAAATTTAAAATTTAAATGTTTGAGATTACTATTAAAAAGTGATTTTAGAAAGATAAAATATTTATTTTAAATATTATAATATAAATTAAAAATATAAAGTTTTCATTATATTTACATTTATTAATAATATGATATTTAAAATATATAAATTTAAATTATAATAAAAATATAAAAATGTTTTATTTTAACTCATTAATACTATGAAGTATAAAAAAATACATTATTTTGTATTCAATGAAAATATTTCAAATTAGATAATTTGATCGTTCATAAAAATAGTTAATAAATAATTATGTATGTATATGTATTAATTTAAAAACTAATAAAAATTAAATAATTGAGGATAAAAGTATAATTTCATGTCAAAAGTGATTATCCACCGTAAAATCTATAAATTTTAATTTGGTTGGGTTAAAAATTATTTCTCCAACCATGATTTTAAATTAAATTTTAGATATTTAGCATTTCTTATGAGGTGGAAAATTACTTTTCCCTTGGCAAAAGCATTCCCAACTGACTAGGAAAATCATGTTTAATTTTTATAGTTAAATTTAAATAGAAATCTATTTATTAAATTAGAATGTTAAACAAACCAAGTTAACTTCGATTTGAATACATTATTTTAGGATAAAGTATAAAAATAGTTTTCGATCGTTTTTTTTTTGTTGAGTTTCTCGATTATTAAAAGTAATTAAATGAACCTTCAACTATAAGTTATTATTTTGTTGAGTCCCCTGATTATTAAAATATATAAAATAATTACATGACTATTCTTATGTTCTAAACTCGTCCTTTTCGTTAAAAATTGACAATTGTCTGAGGTAGACAAATAACATTTTGTTACTTTTAATAGCCGAGGAACAAAATAATGGTATAGTCAGGAGATCATTTTATCCACAAAATATAACTCAAACGAATATGGGATCAAATTTTATTGTATCACAGTCAACAAATTAACGTCCAGCTTAGACGGTTTTTAATTTTTTAACGGAAAAGAAAGAGCTTGGAACATATGAATAAATAATCATTTTGTTACTTTTTAATAGCTAGAGAACAAAATAATAATATAGTCAGGAGATCGTTTTATAACTTTTAATAATTAAGGGACTTAACAAAGAAATGCTCTATAACGGAAAGATCATTTGTATAATTTACCCATTATTTTAAGTATATTTTCATTTTAGATAAAATCTACGGAGTCAAAGAGATAATTTGACCCAGTCATTTTAGTTGAAATATTGGGTGAGATTTGACTCACCAGCGACAACTAACTGCGACAGCAGACGTGGACTCACCGTTGACAACAACCATGACACGGATTCATAAATTAAAAAGTGGGGTCTAAAATTTTAATATTTAATTCTAAAAATTTTGGGTATGTAATTTTTCTTTTTTCCCCTATTTTCATTAATAAATTAAAATAATTTAACACTTTTCTCGAAATAATGAGTGTGCAGCTCCCATAGGGAGCCACATACATCCGCCCCTGCATGACCACATACATCCACCCCTGCATGACACAAAAGCATTATCTGAACAACATACAAATTCATGCAACATTTAAGAATTTTAATATTTTATTTTATTTTGTTCATTGTTTTTATCATTATAAAAGGAAAAACACGTTTTCCGTACACAAATAATTTAGTTTCCGGTGGTAAAAGAAACATATAACATGTGATGAAAATGATAGTCCAAGTTGAATGGCTGAGGAGGAGGAACATTCATGGAAATGTATCTTTCGTGTCCTCCCCGTATAAAACCACAACCCTTAGCAAGCTTCCACTCACACTGTAAAAATATCATACAAGAAGGAATGAAAAGCAATGTGGAGAATATCTCGGATTCAGAGTTCAACGTCTTTGAATCTCCTCAACGCTATCCAGCAACAACAGACGCTGTTATTGAACGGTGCTATAGCAGAAGTTCGAGTTTTAGTAGCGTTTTTTTCAATGAAAGTTGGGGTGGTCTTCCATTAAAGATGAATGATTCCGAGGATATGTTGATTTACAGTGCTTTGAGTGAGGCGGCGAACTCCGGCCCGAGTGCACCCAACGAGACTGATTTAAAAACGGTGCCCGGAGCTGTTGGGAACTCTTTTCAGGTGGAGGCGGAGGCGGAGCAGCTGAGGGGGATGCTTTTTAGAGGGGTGAGAAGAAGGCCGTGGGGAAAGTATGCGGCGGAGATCAGAGACAGTGGGAAGAAAGGTAGGAGGATTTGGCTGGGGACTTACGAGACGCCCGAAGATGCTGCATTGGCTTATGATAAAGCGGCGTTCGAAATGCATGGGGCTAAGGCCAAACTGAATTTCCCCCATTTGATTGGAACTAATTGTTGTTGGGAGCCGATTAGAGTCGGCCCAAGGCGCCGCTCGTCGGTAATGCCGATGAAGAGGAAGAGTAGTGAAAGTAACACTGAGGCGGATGCAAGCTTAGATGCGGAAGGTTATGATTTAAAATAATAGTTGAAACAAGCCTAGAGAGAAAGAAGGGAAAGAGTGATTATACTTGAATACATTTTATTAAGTGATTATACTTGAATACATTTTATTAAGTGATTATACTTAAATACATTTTATTAATAAGTATGTAATATTTCAAATGAGACCCAAAAGCACATATACGCATCAGTTTTATGAATCAATTAGTGATCTAACAAAATTTTCTAATTATCTAACCGTTCCATTAAAGCTCAGAGCTAATGATGCACTATATACAACCTATTATAGTATCATGCGCCCATTAGAACGAAAACAACCCAATCTTACAATCCAACCTTAACTAAACTCCAGACATTCACATTGCTTTCCTCAGATCACCTATCGTACTCGGTGATAAAGTAATTGTTGTTATTCCTTGAAGTTCCGAGATTGAGCATCAGGAATATCAGGGGTGTGAGCGTTCAATGTCAAATAGTTAAAAGTTATATTTGAACAAATACTACCTTATACTTACCTCAGATTGATTAAAAAATAGAGAAAAACAATTTTCCCTAAAACAGATAAGACAACAGAGATGATACAAATAACATATTTCAGAACCGACAAAACATATGAATGACAAAGGTTTAGCCACTATAACATCAACCATTTCTTGCACAAAAAATAAATTCAATTCAATATGTTTGAATTTTGAGTGCATAGCTGGATTAGCGGACACCTCAACTACGCTTGTGTTATCACACCACATTGTGGACTTGTTACTCGGTACAACATGTAACTCGCTAAGTGAAGATTCAAACCACAAAATTTTAGTCGTTGCACGCGCCGCACTATGATATTTTGCTTCAACAATTGACCAAAACATCGTCTGTTGTTTCTTTGAACCTTACCTCCAGCATAGATTCAATTCTCAATTATATATATCTGATCATTAACATCAGACCGCTAGTCGGTATCAGTGAAACTTGTAACAGACAAACTTGTGGTATTAGTGATTTTCAACCAATAAGCTATTGTGCCTTGTAGATATCTAAGAATCCTTTACATTGCATAGGCGTGAGTGCCGAGAGGAGTGACCAAAACGTGAATCACGTAACAAATTGATGATTAAATTAAAATTTTTAAATTTTAATGACCAAAATAGGAATAAGATTAAAATTAAATGATCAAAATTTATAGTTTATCCATATTTTTTTGGTGTCAAAATCAATTAAATATGTTTCTTTTAACTAACAATCAATTAAATAAGTTAGCTCAACAGTTAATTAATGACCTTAATTAATTAATAAATTAATAAGGACAAATCTAAGTGCAGCAGCAACTCCACGTATTACAGATTCAAACTTCGTAGCCCATATGACGATGATTATGCAAATAAAAAATAAAAACATAGCATGTGCATATTTGGTTATTTGTTTACACACTTTGAAAACGTGATGAAAATGTTCTTCAATCTCATTACTGAGAAACTTCCTCTAACGAAAACCAGGACTCATACTAATGATAGTTTAATACAAACTCACAAAGTATATATAATCAAACAGGAACTAAATCAAGCCATCCAGCTCCAGTTTAAAACCACGTCTCCCAGTCAGTCACAGTCACAGGTTGGTTTCCTTTTCGGGTTGCAGTTAACAAAGCAAATATGTACTGCGAAACTGCTTCAGAATTTGGTGTTGGTCTCTTGGACTCGATTCATCGGTTTCTTTTGGAAGATGATGATTTTGAAACCCAATATCCACTTACACTTCCATCGGATCTGATGGATTGTTCCAAAGCTGATGCAATCTCTATTGATGTTGATCGATGGGTGACTTTTGATCAGTTATTTGATGCAGCGGAGGCTGCCGCTGCTGATGTTTCATTTTCTAGCTCCGAAATGACTTCTGGGGTGGCGACTGAAAATTTCAGTAAACCTCACGCGCCGCCGAAGAAGGTGCATTATAAGGGTGTGAGGAGAAGGCCGTGGGGGACATACGCGGCGGAGATTAGGGATCCCAAACGGAGTGGTTCGAGAATCTGGCTCGGTACGTACGAGACGCCCGAAGATGCTGCACTGGCTTACGATAAAGCGGCTTTTCAAATGCGCGGCTCAAAAGCCAAGCTGAATTTTCCCCACCTTGTTGGCTCGGATCAGGTGGAGCCGGTGAGAGTGGCCAATAACAAGCGGCGGTCACCGGGGCCTTGTTCATCTTGGTCATCGGCACAGTCGCCTTCCTCTTCGTCATTCATGTCGGATGATAGAACTCCCAAATTGAAACGGAGGATGATCGATAGTAACTTGTAAAGATTCTCTCCATTGTTTTAATACATTATCGATATTATCAACCATTCAACAAAATAGGAATAGTTAATACATGGTTAACAATATTAACTATTTACAAAACAATTCTTGTGTAAATAAGTTCTTCACTCAAAATTTTATTACACTTGTGTAAAGAAGTCGATTAAAATTAATAAATGACGAAGCACTTCAAAAACGTGATGAAAATGTTTTTCAATCGAAACTTCCTATGAAGAAGACCATGAATCAGATTCCATCTGTTGCTGAAATGTTGTGAACAAAAATCTGGCTATTCAACTAAACGCCGGCCCAATCAGTAGTTGTTCTCTATCTTCAAGATCTCGGATGCCGTCTCCTGTATTATACACACCATTAGCCATCAGTGAAACGCAGTCGGTTCAAAGAATGCACTTCGATCCAAAGTTTTCTCAATCCAATTAATAAGCATAATTTTTAAAAGTCACAAATATCTAGTGAACTCAAGATAGTATAGAAATATGATCACTATCAGGCTGCAGATGACTGAAAATCAATAGACACCATGAAAACCATATTGAGTCTTCAGTAGGGAGAAAACAAACATATTTAACGATATAAAAAGGAAGTTAAAAAACTAGAAAAAAAAAAGTAACCTCTTTGGTCGGCTTCGGTCTTCTTCATAGTCCACTCCACCAGGTTCAGAGAACAACTCCTCAAGCCCTCGGATGTCAACTTCGGCCTGCTTACAGTGTGTAACTTCGGCCACAACGTAAGTAAGCCACATCGACCAGCATATCTTGATATTGACAGAGTGAAGTCATGGCACCTGTTAACCCCCCCCCCTCCTCTTTTGCATCTTAACCGGTTAAGTTCCCATATTTTTTGTATATGCATTTTTGCAAGAACTAAAGGACTCCCTTTCCCACCATCACCCTTCCCCAAAACAATTTTCAATATCTTAGAAGTGTGCGTTCAAAATCAAAATTAGTTTTAATTTCTTCAATGCTTATATTAAATTAGATTAAAAAAAATAAGAGACAGGACAAAGAAACTAATAGACAAACTTTTCAGCAACATTTACATTCTCATTCGTTTTAATGATTCAATACTGAATCACGCAAAATGTCAATCAATACAAAAAGCAATTTGGATTCAACTGACCTTGGCAGAGATGGACTTCTTTACTTCTTCGACCCTATCTTCAACATCCTTTCGATGTTTTTTGTCTTCTCTTGAATTGAGATTAGTAACTTGTCTGATGTTTCCAACCTAGGTTCAAAATTCCAATCCATATACTGATTTATTAATATATATACAAACACACATGCGCTGATTTAGTACATTTAACTTTGTATTAATCCAAAAGGTAATACAAGACCGCACAGTAGCAACTATAACTGCAGCATGGAAGAGAACAGCATGCAATATTAAAAATCAGAGATGTTACCAGTTGATAGAGTTTGTGTCATTCTCCCAAGTTGTCCTGGCCTCAAATCCCTACCGGCAGCAAAGTGGATCTTCCGAAACAAATATATTATTGATTTTAACATGTGAAGAAAAAGAAAGGAAAAGGAAAATTCTTGACGAAAAGATAATGGAAAGTTGAAAAGAACCTCCCACTGCTTTTTCTTCAAAAGCATACATAATACATTCATATATGTCTAACATATGCTTCCAATGTGCTTTGGGTCCACTCTTGGATTGTGTTTCTCTACGGCAGATCTATTTTATTTATACAATTCATTCTAAGAGAATTTACTTTATATTTTTAAATATTTAAATTATTTGTAATTTTAAAATTTTAATATATGTCTAAACATATTTCGTTCCAAATAAAAAAATGATGATTTTAGACTTAATTTTTTATTTTGAATAAAAAGTTACAATCTATAATTGTTTAGGGAAAAAAGAAAAAAGGACAAAAAAATTAAAGAAAAATGATTATTGAATTCAAATTTCTGACTTTCAACCTTAATGTGTGTATATATATTCTTTACACTATACACTATGGTGGCTAATTGGTCAGTATTAATATTAGAGTTGATAATTTTTAATTGGATTGATAAATGAATAAATTTAATTATCAAATAATAAATTTAGTATGTGACGAAATCGATAACGATAATGTAGAGAAATGTAATTAAGTAAAAAGAATAACGAAGATATTTATGAATAAATATTAAAATATTATAAAAAACTCTAAAGATCTTGAGTTACTCTTATAGAATAACAATAACAAAAACATACAATAAATGATGAAAAAGGTGTAATTTAACATGAAAAAACATATTTGAATTTGTAAAATTTAAAGTAATAATAATATAAATAGAATGAAATTAACATTAAATCAATATCTGAAACCATATTTTAATGAAATTTGTTTAATTTAATGTGTATCCTTGGATGCCTTTGTCTGTGAAGCACAACGTAAAAACAAAAATCAAACTTCTGCAAGTGCAAGTGCAAATAATTAACAAATATTGTTAAATAATTAAACTAATTAAATATTCACTTTAAAGTCTGAACAGTCATCAGTAATTTAACGAAAAAGAGGAAAATAATAATAATAATTCTAAATCCGAACAACACAGGCTGAGAAACAGTTCAAATACTCCATTAGCCGCTTTACCTTACATTTGCACTTCATTTCTCAATTCCAACAATATACACAAAGCTTAAATCGGGCGCCACACCACTTAAGAGCTTCTTCTTCTTTTTTTCTTTTAGTATAGGTAAATCGTACGCACCACCACCAGCAATTAGTGCGTTAGAATGGGCTGTACGGCGTCGAAGCTAGACAACGAAGACACAGTGAGGCGATGCAAAGACAGGCGCCGACTGATGAAGGAAGCCGTTCACGCTCGACATCACCTAGCCGCCGCTCACGCCGATTACTGCCGCTCTCTCAGCGCCGCTGGCTCTGCTCTATGCACATTCGCTTCTGGCGAACCCCTTTCCATCTCCGACGAAACCCCCGCCGTCCTCCTCCAACCCGCCGCACCGTCTCCGCCGACAACGACCAATCTAATCCCTCCACGTATCCCTCAATCTCCCTCCCCTTCTCTCCACCCTCCTCCTCTATCTCCTTCCCCCTCTTATCCAACAATTGCTAGCTCCAAACTCCCTCACATATTCTCAGCTTCCAGCATCCCATCTCCCGCACCCAATCGTCGCCGACCACATAAGGCACCCCCGAAACTCCCTCACATTTTGTCCGAATCGAGCCCTTGTTCTTCTCCACAAAGCTCGAAATCCGGTTTCTCCAACAACTTTTTCCCAACGACGTATCAAGCAAATGCCACTTACTCAACCACTCCTTCCCAGACTTCTTCCGTTTGGAACTGGGAAAATGTTTACCCTCCATCCCCTCCAAACTCCGAATTCTTTAACCATAAACAACACCAACGAAAGCAACAACTACTACCCCATGGGCATCATCATTTGGATTCAAACTACCCTGAAGAACCGGAAGATACCGAAACGGAAAAATCAGAGTACGATTTCTTCCGTCCACATAACCCGAACAACCGTTACAATATCAATTCCGTTAAGGGCAAGAGTAATTTCGACGAAGAAACCGAAAGAGAAGAAGTGCAATGCAGTGAATGGGGAGACCACGATCGTTACACTACAACGAGTTCATCGGAGGAAGACGAGGACGTGGCATCCAGATCCGAGTTTGGAAATCGCTCCGATTTCGGTTCGTCAATGAGAGGGGAGTCCAAGGAGTTACATCATCCTCGAAATCAGACTCCTCCGCCAGTAAAGATTCAACAACACCAGCAGATGTATGGGGCTGTCGCGGGGACTAAAATGGACGGTAAGTCGGAGGATGCGGGGTCGTCGGCGGGAAGTTATAGAACGGGTGCTATGATGGATATGAAGATGGTTGTAAGGCATAGGAATTTCAAAGAGATTGTCGATGCGATCAAAGAGAATTTCGATAAAGCCGCCGCCGCCGGAGATCAGGTCTCGGACATGCTTGAGATCAGTAGAGCTCAGATTGATAAAAGCTTCAGGCAATTGAGAAGTAAGTTCCAGTTGTGGAGAATTTTATTTTAAGCTGAATTCAGCTGAAATTGATTTAATTTTAATCCCATTTATTTTCTCTCTTCGTGATTCTTTTTAATTTGTTTTCCATCTTACAGAGACGGTGTATCATTCAAGTAGCATGTTCAGTAACTTGAGCTCAGGGTGGACTTCAAAACCGCCGCTGGCGGTGAAATACCGGCTCGACGCGGCTGCGCTCAATGAAACGGGCGGTTCAAAGAGCCTTTGTTCTAGTTTAGACCGGCTCTTGGCTTGGGAGAAGAAGCTCTACGTGGAAGTCAAGGTAATAGTTTCCCTCTCCTTTTAAAAAATGGGTTAGCTTTCTACTAATAATACTGATGGTAGCGTAAGTCCACCGCAGTTTTATACTGTTGATCGATTTATCTTTACGACTACATCCCTTTAGGAAACTGTTTATGGGGCCGAATCTTTCGGGGTACTGTCGTCAAAGCGTACAGTTGTCGTCGCAGTATTAGTATTTTTTATACTTTTATTATACTTTACTCACCCTTTGTTTTGTAGACATTTTAGTATTAGTAGTTTAATATAGGTGCGCACGAAAGTAAAAAAAATATTGTCAAGGATTCTGAAGGGTGTGAACTTTAAGTGTTATATTTAAACATATATTGTTTTGTATTTACCCTAAATTAATAAAAAATGATAAACTACATAAATGACCACATAACTATGGGTCAGTTCGTGAAATGACTACAATTTTCAAGATTGTGACAAATATACCATTGAATTATTTAAATATGTTCAAAATGGTCACACGATGTTAATATTTAACGAAGGTGTTTACGTGACAGTTAAAAAAATTATATAATTAGGAAATGAGTCATTGTAAAGTTACGTATTTGTGGCTCTAGCACCCTGTTTTGTTTCTTCCATTTTGGTCACTACTTGTATATGTTTTGTTTCCTTGGATTTTCATTTAATTCAATTTGTTCTTGATTTTGTTTTTAATTTGTCTAATGCCTTAATATGAGCATTAACTTTAAAATCTTTTATTCTAATCATGTATTAAATTTATAGATTAAATCCCCTAGATTTTATAATTAATTAATTTGATTACCAATATTAACTTTAATTCTTAATTTTTAATTAAGTCCTAAATTCCTAATTTCTTAAATTTTGCCACTATAACATTCTAAATTCTTAATTTCTTAAATTATTTTACATTAGCATTCTAAATTATTTTTAAAATATTTATTTTAACTTCAAAACATTTGAAATTTAATTATAATTTTTGTTTTAATTTTTAATAATTTTTTTTCAATTATGTAATTTGATTTTTTAACTTTATGTGTGAATTATATATTATAGACCTTTAAATTTTAGAATTTTTCTATATATTTTTTAAAAATAATATAATTCTAAAAAATAAAAAATTATAAACCAGGTACCCGTGACCCGAAAATACGGGTACTCGAATGTAATGGGCCTGGACACGGGCCGAAATTTTGATACCTGAAAATTCTGGGTACCTGGTATTTTAGATACTCGAAAACACGGACACCCGATTTTGAACACCTCTAGTCCTACTTGAAGGAGTAAATAAAGTGACTAAACTGTAAAACGTACAAAAGATAAGGACCTAAATGTGAGAAAATATGTCATTTGTCAAGCAAATAAAATATGAATTTAAACATACTTTCACAATCATCTTCTTCCTCTCCTATAAGCACTTTGACATACATGAGTTAGTGACTTATCCTGAGGAGTGCTCGTGGTGAAGTCAGATAATTTTTATTAATAATGAAATTATTGTGATGTCAGGGAGATATAATTGACATAATATATTTAATAAATAATATGATATAATTAATGTTTCATATTATTAAGTTAATTGAAAATATAACGACGCTTAAATCATTAAAATAAATCTAATAGTTTATTTATAATTGATTTAAGATTTTAATATTTTTAAACTAAATTTACTGTTTTCATATTTATTTTTTAATGATTATATAAATGAAATCATTAAAAAATAATTTAATAATCAAATTATAATATATATTATAATTAATGATAAAAAATATATATTATAGTTAATACTCAAATTATAATCATAAGATTGTGACATGTGTCACAATTTGATTGGAGAAATGAATTTATTAAATTAAATTGAAATTTGACCTAATTAAAAATTAAGAATTAAAGTTAATCTTGGTGATCAAATTGATTAATTCTAAAATCTAGGGGATTTAATCTACAAATTTAATACATGATTAAAATAAAAGATTTTAAAGTTAGTGCTCACATTAAGACATTAGACAAATTAAAAACAAAATCATGATTAAATTGGATTAAATGAAAATCCAAGGAAACAAATCATATACAAGTAGAGACCAAAATGGAAGAAAACAAAGTAGGGTGTCAGCGCTGCAAATACGTAATTTTACAAGGACCCGCACCCTAATCATACCAATTTTTTAACTGCCATATAAACACATCCGTTAAATGTTAACGTCGTGTGGCCATTTTGAACCCATTTAAATAGTTCAGTGATATATTTGTCACAATTTTGAAAATGGTGGTCATTTCGCGACCTAGCCCATAGTTATGTGGTCATTTATGTAGTTTACCCTAAAAAAAATTAATAGAGTTGCGATGACTAAAATACCCTTGGCATTGATGTTAAGACAGTTATAGCCATAGGAGCGTGATTTCCATGCGCAACTAACTTATCCTGAAATCTTATTGTACTCTATCAATTGCGTATGCAGGTATGTGTGCGTTGTCATTAAGTTATATTTTTTAATAAATATTACCTTATTATCACTCTAAACTATTAAAAAAATCTACTATAGGCCAACTACCTTTTTTTCTTCTAGATTCCCAATCTTGTTTGGGAATGTTTTTTGCATAACCACGGTATTTGACTTATTGATCGATTAATTTGGATTAGATAATCTCATTATGAGACAACCCTCGTAATCTAGTTTTCTCTATTCACAAGAGCAAGATTTGAACTCCTCACTTTACTTAGACCTAGCTCTCATCCCACTCTATCAACTAGTAGTTGGAGGGAAATGTTTTCTTTTACATTAGTGCACGAGCTTTAGTTTCCTACCTTCCACCTACTTTAATCGGTGTTGGTTGGTGGAGAATAAAGACGATTTCAGTTAATTTACCCTTATGCTTCAATTGTAAGTTATTCAGCCAGCGAAACGCTTTGTTATGAGTATTTTCTGTTTTGTTTTTTATTGAATGCTAAAGGAAAAAAGTTTCTAGTTGACTTTTATGGGGTAATAGATTCCTCCCACCCACCATAAACATAACATGGTGTTCTTTTATTGAACTTCTGTAAGTTCCTTGAATTGGTTGAACATGTTGATTCTGGTGCATATTGTCTCTGGATAATAATAATGAGAAACATGCGGTGCAAAGATAATTTGATAGTTTACTTGGTTGTTGCCTTCAAATGAGTCCGTGTTTATTCCATTTTCAATTATGTTTATATTGGATATATGTTGTTGAGATGAGTGCTGATGTAGGCAATATATTTTCCGACACTTACAGGCCAGAGAAGGAGTAAAGATTAAGCATGAGAAAAAGTTGTCGGCATTGCAAAGTCAAGAATACAAGGGGAAGGATGAAACCAAGACAGACAAAACAAAGGCATCAATAACAAGGCTGCAATCACTAATTATCGTCACATCTCAGGCTATCTCGACCACATCTACTGCCATTATTGGGCTTCGAGACAGTGATCTTGTTCCACAGCTTGTTGAACTTTGTCATGGGTAAGCAGTCCTTTTTATCCTTTTGTCTCTGTTTTGTCTTGAAATGGATAAGAAATTCCATGCAATGCAACTATATGGAACCATACACCACTAAACATTCTGCCTTCTCTTGGAAACTTACATGAATCAAGAAACACCAATCTAAATCCAATGTAAGCAGTCCAGTAAAAGTTATTAGTGGTCAAATTCTTCTGCTCCATTTTCCTTTTTTTTTATCCTTCAAAATTGATTCTTACTCAGAAACCTTGGTCGTTGGGTGGCTTGAGTTCTTCAGGACGGGAATTGAATCTCACATTGGTTTTATCTCATGTAGTGTGGATTTTAGCTGGTTACAGGGTAGGTGAACCATTATGGTTCACTGCTCTGCCTTGCCACTTGATCAACCTCTCTGAGAACATGTGCCTTGTGTAGTCTAGATCCTTTTAATTCTGTGGCCCCGCTACCACTTGACAGTGTTTCTTCTATTCACTCCTGTTAGCCACATGCAAGTGGGGGATGGGGGTTAGGTGCACTGGAGTTAACTATCCTACGACCCACCATAATCTAATTTGACAGGTTGTTGAAACTTAACTGCTAAATAAATCAAAGCCTGTTAATATCAGCATCACTCAGTTATGTGATTATCAATGGATAGAAATATGATTATTCACTCTAACACCTCAGACTGTTTGCACACACTACAGTGTATCATCCGTTGTTAGATTACGCATGCTGACTTCAAATGGGTTATAATACTCGAGTTATTATGGTGTTTCAGATAATTTACGAGGAACATACTTGCAAACCTTGTGTTGGAGTTCATACTAATAATTTTGTAGTGTTTTGAAAACTTGCATCTCTATACACCCATTATAGCAGAGGAAGAAGATAATTTGACTCATGGAATTTGAAGAGAAAAATAATGACTTATTTTAGTTGATTAGATGATTATTTTAGGATTTAGTAATTTTTATTCTCCATAATATAAAATTTTTGGTGCTAGATTAATTTCAACTTGAATATTATCTTTACACATCGAATATGGATGCAGGTTCAGGTATATGTGGGGGTCGATGCATCAATATCATGAGGTTCAGAACAATATTGTGCAGCAAGTCCGTGGCCTTATAAACAGATCAGGAAAAGGTGATTCAACTTCCGAACTGCATAGGCAAGCAACACGTGATCTTGAGTCAGCCGTCTCTGCTTGGCACTCTAGTTTCTGCCGTTTAATTAAATTTCAACGGGAATTTATCCACTCCCTCCACGGTTGGTTCAAGCTCACCCTTCTTCCTGTCAGCAATGACAATGGCAACGGCAGCACGGTGCCCTCTGATGCATATGCTTTTTGTGATGAGTGGAAGCTTGCTATTGACCGAGTCCCTGACACGGTAGCTTCTGAAGCTATCAAAAGTTTTATCAATGTTGTCCACGTGATATTCGTTAAACAATCTGAAGAGATTAAGATTAAGAAGCGAACTGAAACTGCATCGAAGGAGCTCGAGAAAAAGGCGTCATCTCTCCGGAACATAGAGAGGAAGTTCTACCACTCGTACTCTATGGTCGGTATTGGCCTTCCTGATTCTGGGGCTGATCACGGGCAGGTACTGGATGCTCGGGATCCCCTGGCAGAGAAAAAATCCGAGCTCGCAGCCTGCCAAAGGCGAGTGGAAGATGAGATGTTGAGGCATGCCAAAGCAGTAGAGGTAACAAGAGCAATGACACTGAATAATGTTCAAACAGGCTTGCCAGGGGTTTTCCAAGCATTGACCAGCTTTTCTGCCTTATTTACAGAGGCACTTGATTGGGTATGCTCCCGTTCCTATCATATCAAATAGACGAATACATTTTTCCTCTGAAGAATTTTTGAGGTTAAGTAGAAATTTGTAATAGTTGGGGTTTTTTCTGGCTGTTGGCTCTTACAATTATTATTTTTTGCCCGGGGAAGCGTAAATACATGGGAGACGATCTTTTTGTGGTTTTGCCAATTATCAATTGTCAAGCAATGGCAAGTGTTTGTACAGAAAATTGCCTCTCATTCTTCATTCTTGTATCCCAAAAAGGTAAAAGTTGCAATTTCAGCAGATGAATAAATAAAGATGGGTTTGAAAGTAAAAGTTGTATATTGCTATGCAAACAATTAAAGGAAAAAGGACCCTTTGTCTTTGGTCCATTCAAGGTTCGGCATATGAATGTGGTGTTTACGCCACTCTGTTCTGCAATGAGCATGAATTTTTATTGATTTTAAGGAGTGAGCTGAATCAGCTGAAGTATATACTATCACAGCAAACTCTTGAAACGATTTTTGAGTAATACAACTCATCATCCTCTAAATCAAAACTAGAAGAATTCAAAGTCCAGATATTTACCGCCAGAATTCATGTCTGTCCCTTGCCCAGGCCCCACCATCTTTTTACTTTTGCTACCAACCTCAAGTGGCTCCACTGGCCCAGGTTTCCCGGGCGTCCCAGACGGCAACTCGCTCTCCATGGGTCTTGGCACCTCGGGTGGGGTGCTGCATCGTATTAGATCACACCTTCGAAGAAAGGATGTTGCTTGATCTTGGTTGCACCCCTCTTCACCCGTAGCCGGTTTTGTGGTTCCTTCACCAGCAAGCCCCAGATTAAATCGTTGCTGGCCTAACTTGTGGTTGGCAAATCAGGGAATCTCAGCTGTTGCCCCACGACATTCAACAGCGTAGCACGGTTTCCTGAACCTTTAAAGGGGGTTTACCGTAGAGCAATTCATGCAATAATATTCCAAAGGTCCACCAATCAACAGCACTTCCATGACTTTCTCCTTTAATTATTTCAGGAGCTAGGTATTCGTGGGTTCCAACAAAGGACATAGACCGTGCTGCAGTAGGCTCTGCTACAAGCTCCGGGAGGGTACTAGAAGGCAACCCAAACTCAACTCGAGGTTTTCGGTTTTTCTTGTTTTTTGAGGGAATAGCCGTGGGAGAAAGCAGGCAGGCTGGATGTAAACCGATGTAGGCTCGATACAGGCAGGTTGAACACAGAATGCACCACCAGCTCCACGTTTTGAAGGATCAGAATTGAATGCTAAGCTTTTTATCAGAGTGGGAGAAACTGCACATCTTAAGGAAAGATCAAAATCTGAGAGCATTATATGGCCATCATCGCGAACTAGAACATTTTCAGGTTTCAAATCCCTATAAGCAACGCCAAGCATGTGGAAATACTCCAGCGCTAATAGAACCTCTGCAGCATAAAATCTGCATTAAGAAAAACAAGGGTTTATATAACCTTTTTCACCTGACATTTACTGATTTCAGTTGTGGGAGTGGGGGAACTAGCTTATGAAGCCAACATGATCAACAAAGCCATCAGCAATGCGTTTATGCCATGTATGAAAATATAATTAACATCCCATACAATGATGAATAGATATATAATAACCTTTTCGAGAACTGACCAAGGAATTACCAGATATCTTTTCTTCAAAAAATAAATGGATATAGATTTACTCCTTGGCATATGCTAAGCTACTGGAAACTAGCCTACAAAGTGGAACAAGGAGAACCAATAAAACTCAGGAAGGAAAAGGAATCAATTTCATGGTCAACACATTGAGTGTCTCATAATTTCCCTAGTTCAAATAGTTATATGGACTACCATTAATTCTAAAAACACAAAAGACTTAAAGAATATAGTTGCGTCATTTAGTTGCTTTTGCTATTTTATTTATCAGGTAGAAAAGGCTAACAGGTCCAGAAGGAGAACAAGCATCTCCTAGCCCGGAGTTCAGCAGCATGAAGGTGAAAATAGGTTTCACATACTCGACATATCAAGAAAGATAGGAACTGATCAAGGGAAAGGTCTAACTACATATGCACAACATTTAGACATCTTGCAACATAGAAGAGGAAACTGTGGAAATCAGATTCTCAAGAAAAAATTGTTTATTTCACCTTTCAATTAGAGAGTACAGTGGAGTATTTATGTAAGTGTTGTCAAAGAGTTTAAAATAGACTAAAGGTAAGATTATCAACAAAGTAGGACTCTAGAGTTAGAGTTAAAGAAGGAAACTACTATTTACATCTAACTATAACTCACACTCCCCCTCGAGTTGGGGAATAAATGTTGTAAAGATCCAACTTGGATGTAATCTCGTCGAAATTGATTCTTGGAAGTGCTTTGGTAAAAATATCGGCTAGTTGATCTTTTGAAGAGACAATTGAGTCTTACGGTTCCACCATTCACCTTTTTCTGCAATGAAGTGTTTGGCGATCTCCACATGCCTAGTTCTGTAGTGATGTACCGGATTTTTAGCAATGCTTATAGTCGACTTGCTATCACTTTAAAGTTCAAAGTAGGTATTGTCGCTAACTCCTAACTCAGTTAAGAGTCGTAACCAAATGCCTTCACAAATTCCAAATGTCATTGCCCGATATTATGCTTCTGCACTACTTCTGGAAACTATAGCTTGTTTCTTACTTCTCCAAGTCACCAAATTTCCCTAAACAAACGATGCCTTCACAAATTCCAAGTGCCATTGCCCCGATATTCTGCTTCTGCACTACTTCTAGAAACTACAGCTTGTTTCTTGATTCTCCAAGTCACCAAATTTCCCCAAACAAATGAACAATAACTCGTCGTTGATCTCCTATCTATTAACTCTCCAGCCCAACTTGAATATGAGAAGATCTTGATTGTTCTATCTTCATGTTTTTTTGAAAATTAACCCATGACCCGGTGTCATCATCAAGTACCTTAAAATACGAGAGACTGCTTCCAAACGTTCTTTTCTAGGATCATTCTTGTATTGACTCACAATACTCACAGAGAAGGCTATGTCTGGTCTAGTAAGTGACAAGTAGACGAGCTTGCCCACTAACCTTTGGTATTATTCTTTGTTTATTGGACTTCCATTTTCCTTTAACTTTAGATTTGCTTCCATGGAGTTTCCGAAGGCTTGCAACCTGTAAATCCAGTTTCAGAGAGTAAATCAAGAATATACTTTCTTTAGTTTATGACAATCCCTTCTTTTGATATTGCCACTTCCATGCCCAAAAAATACCTCAAGGTCTCTAAGTCTTTGGTTTCAAATTCTCTTGCTAGCAATGTCTTCAAATTTTCGATTTCTCTAAAATCATCACCTGTGATGATGATGATGTCATCAATATAGACAATCAAGACTGCCTTTTTGTTGTTTGGAGCGCTCTTAACTAACAGAGTATGATCAGATTGACATTGCTTATAGTTGTCTTGTAAGAGTACCTTCGCGAATCTATCGAACAAGCACTAGAGGATTGTTTTAGTCCATATAAAGACTTCAGCAACTTGCATACTTTCTAATTTTTCAATTGCATCTGCACACCAAGTGGGATCTGCATATAAACCTCCTCTTCAAGATTGTCATTGAGGAATGAATTATTGACATCAAGTTGATGAAATGTCTAATCCTTATTAACTGCTAAGATAGAAGTACTCTTACAATGTTGAGTTTTACTCTAAAAATGATACACATCAATACATGTGAATATCACGTCACCCTTCCATTTATTTAACACTCAGACAATCAAAATAAAAGTAAGTCAAAACTTTAATAAATAAATTAATTTTTTTTAAACTTTAATGATTAAAATAGGAATGAGAAAAAAGTTTAGTGATGAAATTTTGAATTTATCCTTATGGAATGGATCTTATAAAATTCAATCCATAATGTTTGAAAAAATACAAAATTAATATAAAAATTAAATAAACCGAATCAAAACCATCACATTCTAATTAGTGAACCGTTTTGGTCAACTGTAGGGCCCACCTCAGTTCCTTCTTTAAGCAACTTTGCCCTTTTCAAAGGTAGGGACGCTCCTCTCTCTCCCTGCCATCGGCAAATTGGAATCGGCGTTGGGATTTTCTTCGGCCTCCGTAATCCGTTTAGACACCTGTAATCATCAAGCGCTCAAGGCAGCGCGTGGTTTTCTTTTGCTTTGTTGAGTCATTACATTGTTGTTTTTACTCAATTTTGAGTAAAAACTTGCTCCTGATCCGACGTATGACATTTACTTCAAAGGGGGGAGAATCTCTTAGCCGATAGGGTCGCTGGGAGCACCGGTTTTGAAATGCAGGCATTAAATGTTATGTTTTACAAATAACTTAAGTTTATATTGAAGCATGTAGCTGTAAATGCAAAAATTTTCGTTAACAATATAAGACACATAAATTTGTGTTGGGGGACATGAATATAAAAGAATTATATTAAAAATTTAAAGGATGTGAAATTATAAAATCTCTGGTGATACAAAATTAAATAATTCATATAAAATATAATTTTTTTTTAAATTTTTAGAGTCTATCTCTGAAGATAATAAAGTTTTCACCTACCAAATTCAGACAAGGCTGGCCTGTGAGACGGGACAAATGGGAGCTTATTGATAATAGCGAATGTCTAAACAAAATTCCAAGGCGAGAAGAAATCAGTGAGATTGGTTTATCGTGCGCGGGTTTCGATCGACCGCGGCGAATTATTCTTACCTAATTGCCAGTTCTGTTTCTGTTAACTACAGTAACCGTTGGCTGCTTGGTTTCTAACTTTCTTACACTACTGATTTTACACGGACACGGGGGCGCGACCGTACATTCAGTCGCTTTCGACTGTAGTTTCAATGTCCGAACATAACGAGGTCGAGTTTTTAGACACGTCGCCGTCACATGCAACCCAAATTGTAGACTATATTCATCTGATAATCGACAATGACTATTCTGCAATAGCTTTTACAATAAAACCAAAAGATAATTTGCATCCAAACATTCAAAAAATAGTAATACTTTAGTTCAGATCCTTTAGCGACATGAATCATGGAGAAGACAAGACCAGCTTGGAGAAAATCTAGGATTCATAGTCCCCGCAGCATATGTAATCTACGTAACATTTTGTTATTTAATATGACTGTATCTAATAAATAATGTCACATTAATCATCGAAATGATTTTAGATTAATCATATATAATTTTTTTATTAATAACGTAGAAAACAATAATTTTACAAGACATTTATACTTTTATATTCATTTTAAATTGTTATGTAATTAGACTACCATTTTATAATTTTTATGATTAGAAGTAAA